TTAAAAGTTGAACATTTTAAAAATATCATTATGAGAAAATAATATGAATATAAGGTAGTACATTAAATTAAATGTTCTAACTACCAAATTAACATGCCATCCTCCTGTAGTGGTTGGTGAATGACTTGGGATCATCTTAATAATTAAACACTCACGCATGTGGAGAGCTGAAAGCTAGCTAGAGTGTACTCTCTGGGCTGCGGTACCTCATGTGCAGAGATTGTCTCGAAAGTTCCGCTTTTTTTCTCTTTTTTTTTTAAAGAAAATGTTTTTCTTGCTAATTCTCCACTAGACAACCGGGCAACGTGAGGAGTAAATATGCTATCCGGAGCGGTTTTTACTAGACATTGTACGCCGGGCTAGTACTAAATCGAGCCCTGGTCTTTATAAGCTTTGTTATCTAATTAGAAATATAATAAACTGCTTGTAGAAGCGGTTTGGCGCAGCGTGAAAGGTTTGGTTTCCCAACCTTGAGGTCGGGGTTTCAATCCCTGGCTGTGCATTTCACTTGTGTCCTTGAGCAAGGCACTTTATCTTCATTGCTTCTATCCACCCAGGATTATAAATGGGTACCTGGTGGGGTTGCTTGCTCCTGCGCCAAATACAGCAGCAACACTTAAGCATGTGAATCCAATAACCAGCGACAGAAGCGCTTCGTATCCCCAAAGAAAGGCGCTATATAAATATATGAATATGAATGAATATAATAATCATAACAATGAAGAATATGTGTTCATTCAGGGCCTTGGAATAGTGGTCTTTAATTGGAGGTGGTCTTTAACTAGAGGGAGACCTGTAAAAAGCTTCCAAGTTTGTTTTATTTAATATTGTATTGATGAGTAAATTATTATTACATGCGTTTTTTTTTATTATTGTGTGCATTATGTATGTTTAATTTTTTTCATTAGGAAGAAGATTACCTTGGAAGGCAGCTGGGGGGTGTCTCACACTAGAGTTCCCACGGAATCCCGTCCCGGCCACGTCGCCCTCATCGCTGGTTTTTACGAAGATGTGAGTGCTGTTGCGAAAGGTAGAATTAATTAATGATTTTGTGACCATCATCATTGCTGTCCCTGTCATCAATGTCGTTAATAGTCATGATCATCATCAGCATCATTATCATCATCATTATCATTGTTTTCATTGCTATACATGGATCCATTTGTAAGTGATATTAGCCTTCTGCAGACATCATAGCTGTGGGCTTCCGATGAGGGATTCTTTGCATCATTTGCTACAAACTAAATATTGGAATTATTGTTCATCCAGTATGTTGCTTCCATTGTAATCTTTCTTTTTATTCCGTAGGCTTTGCGATGACATATTTCTTTTTTTCCCCCTCCGCTTAGGCTGGAAAGAAAATCCTGTTGATTTTGACTCGGTCTTCAATCAGAGTTCCTACACATGGTCTTGGGGCAGTCCAGACATTCTACCAATGTTTGCTAAAGGTTAGATCAGAAAAAAACAAAGAGGCACATATTAGCAAGACTTAATTACTAATAATGTTGTGTGCAGTTTGTCGGATTTCCACAAAACTGTGAAAGAAATCTATTGGTCAGATTCAAAACGTCACAAGGAAATCTGTGTTAATGACACAGCTATACCACAATTGTTGAAATATTCATTGGATGGATGGATGAATTGATGATTAGATGAACGAATTTGACAAACAGATAGATACATACATATTATTATTATTATTATTATTATTGTATACTTATATAGCGCATATCAAACTTCTCTATGCGCTGAACATTATTACCCCGGATCACTGGATCAAGCACATATGGAACACACACTCAGGCCCCATAGGGGAATTCCATAATGTTGCAGCTGTATTCAGCGCAGGCTGTGTTTGAACCTACCAGGTACCCACTTTTACTCCTGGGTAGAGAGAGACAACCGTAGATAAAGTGCCTTGCCCAAGGACACAAGCGACTTGCACAGCGAGAGTTTTGAACCCCCGACCTCGAGGTTGGGAGTCCAAACCACAACTGATGCGCCAACCACTTCTACGATATTTAAATTAGAGCAGTCAACCCATAGGCCATGAAATATAATTTCAGTAATCTTGACCTTTTCTTCTCAAAATGTAATCATCTCTTTCTTAAATTATTATGTACCATTCCGCTAAATTTTATGATGATCAATTCCTTAGTTTTTCCGTATTCCTGCTCACAGACAGATAGAAAAGAGCAGTAAATACATAACCTCCTTGGCTTATAATGCATATTGAATCACTAGTACAGTGTATTGTTTTTCTTTTCATTAAATTTGTGATTTTACTTTATGTGTATGTTAGGACTTCCTTCCAGTCAAGTGAGCTAACTACAGGTTACACTTATGCACAGGCTTAGCCAGCGAGCCGTTCGGGCGTCTTTTGGACGGCCTACAATTATTTAGGACGGCCACTTTTACCGTGATGGCTTGGACGGCTTGGCCTAATCAGCTCGGCCTAACCTAATTGGGCTTGGTCTACCTTTAGCAAATTTGTTATATTCTTCATATCTGTCGAATGTTACATTAAACTAAAGCTAAATCATATTTACGTTTGATAAAAACATCATTTATTGATTGAATGTACGTTGTTTTCGTACCAATAATGGGGGGGGGGGCATTCCTAAAGATGGGTATGGCCTGCCCATCGGCTCAGTGCCACGCCAACTGGCTTCCGTTTTAGACGGCCTATTTTGTTTTTCTGGCTAAACCCTCCTGCCCTTATGAAATATGATTGAATACTTATGTGTTCTTCAACTTACACAATCTCACCACACTAATCAACTCTAAAACACAAAGTCCTTTTGATTTCTGTGTTAATCTATTAGGAGCAACTGGAGAACATGTCACAACTAATATGTATCCTGCTGAAAGTGAGGATTTTGCCGGTTCTGATGCTTCACGGCTGGACACATGGGTCTTTGATCAAGTTAAGGTAAAATCCATTTCAGAAAAAAAAAAAAAACATTACCTGGATTAAATAAGTTTATCAGAAGCAATATATAAATTTATTACTGTATATTATTGTGTGTAAGACGAGGCTTAAAATAGCAAATTACGATAAAAAAAAAAAGGGTGGGTCGTTTCATACGCGTGACACATACACATTTCTGATTTTTGGCTCATGTTTGTGTTAAGACTCAAGTTCGTCTTGTAGAAAACAACTATCTTTGGTGATCCACATTACAGAACGGATCACCTCTTGTTATTGTCAGAGATCTTTTTTTTTTTTTTTTATTCTACATTTCTCCCCATTTCTTGTTCGCACGTTATCTCAAAATTGCTGCAAGCTACGCACATGGCAATCACAATATGCTTTTCAATGTGACCAGTCATGCGTGACATCATCTACGCATCATGGTAAAAATTAATGTTTTTCTGACCTCTCCCCCACCTCTTTCTTTCTTTAATAATTCTTTTTGACAATCCTGGCTACAGTATTTTTTCATAAATCATACTTTTAAGCGCCATGAGGTATCTTTTGCCTGACAAGCGGATCACCTAACTCGTCCTCAGTGACGAGTTCAAATCTAGTTATTAATTTGTTTCTATAATGAATCATAATATTTAGAACAAGTAGTGCAGGTGCTTCTGTTGATGGCATAGCCAGGGTCGGGGGCTGAAATCTTTAATATGCGTATAAAATGTATTTGGGATCGTTACAATTTTTTGGCTTTGGTTGTGTCAAAAGTGTATGTGTTGTTTGTTTTGAGTATTATGATTTATTATTATCATTATTGATATTATTATTAACATGTGAAGCGATTAGAGGCCTTTCAATTTAAGTGCTATAAAAGAATCACTCTTTATTATTTTTATTATAATTATTACTATTATTCATTATTATTATTATATTATTATTTTTAAGACTATTATTCATTAATAAATGATAATAGTAATGATACTATTATTATTATTATTATTGTTATTTGTTATGGTTATTATTATTATTATTATATCTTAGATTTTGAAGTTTTCATGGGTGGTTCTTTTGTTAGCCGCTGTTCCAGTCAAAGGGTCATAAGGGTCTTCCAGGTTCAATTATCTCTTTTACATATTTTCAGTACTGTGATATTGTTATGTTTTTGCTTTTATTATTTTGGATCAAATGAACATGTCTGAGTCTTATGTGCAACTCGTCAACAGGAATTTCTAGACTCCTCAAAGGCGGACGTGAATATACACCAGAAGTTGTCTTCCACGGAGGTTGTTTTGTTTCTTCACTTGCTTGGCCTCGACACTAATGGGCATGGTAACAAACCATACTCTAAGGAATACCTGGAAAATATACAGGTGGTCGACACAGGTGTCGAACACCTGGAAAAACAGGTTGAAGAATACTTTGGCCATGATGGAAGGACAGCATATATATTGACCGCTGATCATGGAATGACCAATTGGGGTAAGCTTCTGTCCATATTAGTTAATAATGAAACCATATTCTTCATTGGTGAATTCAGGAATTCAAAATAGAGGAGGCCCAAGGATTGGCTTTTACAGACAAAGGGTCCAGACTACCTCAACCGCAGGTCCAAAAGTTTTTGTTTTCCTCCCACTCCCCTTTTTTAAAAATAAATTTTCAAAAATGTATGGAGCCTGTGCTGGCAAGAGTCCTTTTGAATCTGCCTTTGTTTGTAAAGAGTTCTGTGAAACACTGATTGGTTCACAGAATGAATGATTCACAAAATGAACACCATTGGTGCTTTGAAGGAACAATTTTTTCTTTTCCAAATCAATTAGACAATTCATAGCCCTTCACTAATCCTTCTCTATAAATGGCTGGCTGCTGACTCCAGGAAATCTTTTTTATATTAAATAAATAAAGGAAACAAAGTACATAAGTTTTAATAACATGGATAAAATAATACAATACTGTAGTATGTAATATGTAACTACAAAATAAACAATTTATTTTCTAGACATTCAAGGGAAGTAGTCCAAATATTATACTTACTAAGTACATTTTATTAAATATATGCTAAAAACCAAATAAGATTCAATTAAGCATTTACTCTATGAAGACATTTTGTGATGGATTATTGTATCTTCCATATTAGGGTCACATGGTGCTGGTCATCCAGATGAAACTTTGACCCCATTGGTTGCCTGGGGTGCAGGTATCAACAAAGCCAGATCAGGGCATGAAAATATCTTCAAAGACAGATTTAACGAAGGTCAGAGTAATAAAAAATGTCTTATTTTTTCGTTTTAGAAAATATATATATTAATTAGTTTGTGTTTAGTGACTACTTCTATTACTAAATTCCATGCAAAATTGTTGTTATTTTTGTACATGTTAAGTCTAAAAAAAATGTTTTTACTTTATACAAAAAGATTGGAGAATTCAGTCAAAAAGGAGTGATGTTAACCAAGCAGATATAGCACCGCTTATGACATCTCTAATTGGGGTGGCGTATCCCATGAACTCTGTTGGCATCCTACCCACCACTTACCTCAACATGAGTGACAAATTCAAAGCCAAAAGCCTGCTGACAAATGCTAAACAAATTTTAGCTCAATACCAGGTACAACATTGTTAATACAAAAATCTATTTTAATGTAATTTGTAACTTAAATTTTTAAATATTTGATGTTTTAATATTTTTTAAACGATGCCAAATAAATTCATTTTTATTTGCTTAGGCCAATGTTTTTCGTCATGTATACAGTACTTAAAATACTCGAGAATTCCTGCATATATTAATTTTAAGTCATCATTTATAAACGAGGAATTAAGGTAGGAATGGGTAAAGGTAGAAAAATAACCCCGCAGCATCATTGTGCTGAAATTCGTATGGGCGTGGTCCGTGACTACCTAGCCAACGTAAAGAGGCGCTTATAGCAGCTATATGTTCACATCATTCCGCAAGGACAGGAGCTGAAATGAACCATAGCATCGGGGTAACCCCCTACTCTTCCGAAAGATGCAATGGGATTTATAAAATGCACACAAGCTAGATGTGTACACTGGAGCGCCATTTTAAGTCCTTAACCGAGATTATTTTGTGGTAGATTCTTGCTTCACGGCCAAGAGTGCTGGAGGTCATCCAAATTTTTCGAGAGACTCTAACAACTTGCAGGAGACTTTGAGCCCCTGCTGTCTTGATGGTTTTATTTTAATAAATTTTATTTTTGCAGGTTAAAGAAAAGTCTATGCGTGATACAACTCTACCACTGTTCTTCAAACCATTCCACACTCTTTCTGAGGAAAGCCAGAAGTCAAAAGTTGAGCAAATTGAGATGTATATTTCTCAAAAACAGTACGATCTCTCTGTAAGTTACAGCACTTTTATATGAACCTGTAATGATTTTTCAGAAAGTTTCTTAGTAACTTGGCTTTGTTCTTTATGAGAATAATATTTTGACACAATTGTAGCATGTTAGACTGTAGAATGTAATGTAATGATATCTTCCAATCCCAGCGTTCAATAGCAAATTCATTTTTAAGGTTGAATTTTCTAGAATGAAAAAGAAAAAGTCCACTCCTAGTTTTTATTAGGAAATTCTGGATAACTCAGCTTGGTTATTTTTTTGACCCACTGAGTGCATGGATAGTTGCACAGCATCCAAAAACATCATACTGTACTATACTGTACAGAATGGTAGGGGAGCAAGATCCATTGAATCAATGTTTATATTACTAATATTATCTTGGTTGTTGATGTTGTTGTTGTTGATGTTGTTGTTGTACGTGTTGTTGTTGTTGTTGTTGTTTGCTGCTGTTGTTGTTGCTGTTGCTGTTTTTGCACTGTTTTGTTGTAAATATTATAATACAGTACTAGACTGACCTTATACTGTGTTGATTGTAGCATGGTGATATGTGTGTACTCTTCAGGTGTAATGAGTATTGATTAAAAATTTAAGTGCGTGGATAGTTGCACAGCATCCAAAAATATCATACTGTACTATACTGTACAGAATGGTAGGGGAGCAAGATCCATTGAATCAATGTTTATATTACTAATATTATCTTGGTTGTTGATGTTGTTGTTGTTGTACGTGTTGTTGTTGTTGTTGTTTGCTGCTGTTGTTGTTGCTGTTGCTGTTTTTGCGCTGTTTTGTTGTAAATATTATAATACAGTACTAGACTGACCTTATACTATGTTGATTGTAGCATGGTGGTCTGTGTGAACTCCTCAAGTGTAATGAGTATTGATTAAAAATTTAATTTGGATATAAGTACAAGTATTGTCCAGTGTACTGATTTCTAATGAATTGTAATTTTTTTGGAAGCAAGAATGCTTTTAAGTCGGAGGCAAAACCCATGAGTAGTATATCAGTCAATTAAAAAACAAAAGTCAACTGAGAAATAATTTAATTAATAATGAACGTTAGTTTTCATGGAGTACACATCTTCTGTAATGAATGAATGTACAATCGTATGTGAAAAAAAAAATAAAAAAATAAATTGATTATTATATATATAATTTTCTTCAGATGCAGAAATCCTTGAAGTTAATTCATGAAAGTCTTGATGGGTTAAGTTACTACCAGACTTACAACAGGTTTTTTCTTGAGTATGTTACGCTAAATACCTTCCATTCTAGTTAATTAATTTCTGTAATTAATTATAAATTTAAGTAAGTAAATAATAATAAACTAATTTTCAGTAAGTAAATAATAAATTTAGGTTAAACATTAATGTATTAAACAATACTGTATATACATTATAAAAGAAAGTCTTTTTTATAAAAAGTAAACTTTAAAATCTTTTTCTATATAAATTATAGTAGATTAGACGAAAAAAAATAAATTGTTTGTTTGCCCTTCTTTTTTTTAAAATGATAAATAGGGGCATTTGGAAAAAGTTTTTTTATTATTAAATACTCATCAGATGGAATAAAAATAATCAAAATTTTTTTTTTTCCGCCCCTGTTTTTTTCAGTGAGTTAGGGGTGGGTGGAGGAGGGCAAGCAAACAATTTCTTTTTTTTTGGCCTTATTTATAAATACAAACTGTATCCTTTTTTTCAATTAATTGACTATTTTTATATTGTTAATAAAGAAATCAATAATAAAATGAATGTTGTAAATATAATTGATTTGCAATATCAGGCTTTTATATATACAATATGTCTGGAACTTCAAAAAGATTTAATGGGGAGACTGACCATGACGTGTTTTGTGTTTTTTGGTTGGTTGTAAGCTCATTTTTTCCTTTTGTGTTCCATTTTTTGGTCTGTTATGTTAATTCTATTCTGATGTACTGGATGAAAACTGCAGTAAAATGTCTTGTATTTCTTACCGTGTTAATATACAAACATGATTTCCTTATTAACATTTTCAGGGCTAGCATAACGCTGGGCTATATAGGGTGGATGCTGTACATCTTCCAAGTTCTCGTACAGAACCACACCAACATAGCGGTTGACCTGCGATCTCGCTCAACACAGAAGCTTCCCTCACAGTCCCTAGAATTACTGTTTATCGGGCTTGGTGTCATCATAGCTGTACTTCTTTACTGTCAGCATTCCCCAGCAGTCTATTATATCTATGTTTTTTTACCGCTACCCTTGTGGTATAGAGTGACTAAAAGGTAGGCCAAAATTTTTTATTTTTTTTTTATCTTTAACGCTATAATATTTAAAGTTACATTTGTTCTGCAACATATTATTCAATACAATTTCAAGTCTCATCAAACATTGTTTGTTGAGTCTGACAGCCACAGGTTTTAATCTCTTAGTTCTTGTAATAAATAGTGTAACATTTTGTGGGATCACAGCTATCTCTACCTAAACAATGTTTTTTTTTTTAATATAATGTTTCATAGAATCAAGTACAGCTGTTTTTATCTTTAAAAGTGTTTATGTTTTTTAATATACTTTTTCTGTACTTTTTATTTTACTCTTGTTCTTCATGAAAAGAACTTTTTTCCTACTATGCTCAAATAAAGTGTATCTTGAATCTTTAAAAGTGTTAAATGTAATGCTTGCAGTTCCGTCATATCTGTAATTTATCCACTATATATATATATACTCATATATAAGACTTTCCGCTTATAAAACGACCCCCAGGTTTGAGAAGATTGACCCCCCCCCACCCAAATTTTGCTGCTTTTATAGTCTTGATACTGCACCTAGCTGGCTAATAACTGGGCCAAATGCAGCACTAATCATCCAAATAAATACCATTTTATGAGATTTTAAATCTTCCCCGCAGTTGTAAATTCGCATGTTATGGACAAACATGATTTTAAAAATCTAATAATATTTGTATGTAGCGCATATAAGAAGACTCCCTGATTTTTCTTAGTAATTTGCTAATTTAAGCCTTGTCTTACAGACAAGTATATACAGTATGTATCTGATGACATTATCATGCTCCCTACAGTATATGGACAAATCATTGATTTTCTTTTTTGGTAACAAAAAAAAAATTGATTTGTTGATAGTATAGGTAGTTATCATATTATATATTTTGCCATTTTTCTGTTCTCTTCCAGATTTTATGTATTTCAGGAATTATTACATTATGTTAAATTAAATAATATGCAGATGGAAGTTTTATGTTATGTCGTAATTGGGGTTGTTGCTATGGAGGTGCTAGTATTAAGTCTATTCTACAGAGAAGTCATCTCCCTCGGCTTGCTAGGCCTAGCATTGTGGTCACTTTCTGCCTGGAACATTCTAGAGAGTAAGGTTAGTATGATTAAACTGTATTCAAGAACGATGTGCTATAGGAAATACAGCTGATGAATTTATTCAATGTTTCAAATATGTTTCAAATGTTTCAAATATGTTTCAAATAGATTATCTTTGGCCCATCAGATCAACTCTGAAACTAATTTGGCCCTTCAAACAAAGTAATTAAGAACCAGAGTGCTAGGGTGTACTGCCCAATCCACCAGCGGGGGTATTAATGCCTTTTTCTGCATCAGTACCCAGGAGCAATACTGCCCTGCCACTGCATGGGTACCCAGGTGCTCATTCCATATTTTATAGTTTAATAGAGAAATAGTAACTTAGACAAACTTTGTGAATTTAGTTTATGTTTTTATTTAGTTGAAATTTTAATGTTTTTGTTTGTGTTACTTTTTCTCAGGTGCTGCTTATGTGGGTTACATCATGTCTAATTTTAGCTATATTTCCCATGATGCCAGTTGTTGGCAGGGAGCCAAATATTCAGCTTGTGTAAGTAGCGTGTAGTTTCATTAATTATTTCACGATTTGCTATATCTCTATTAAACATTGCATTTTTGTTGAAAATATGTTTGCTTAATGGGAAATCTCAGTGGAGTATACCAACTGGGCCTCATGATTCCTTCAGTAGACCAGTGGAATAGTGTTTGGGGTCTTGACTACACATTGAGATAATACATTTTCTCATAGAAATGACATTACTTTTTCATAAGTTCAATAATTAGAAGTTTCCCACAGAAGGGGGTTCTACTGTAGGTGTACCTCATTTGGAAGATCTACCTTTCTTTTCTTTTTTTTTCTTTTTTCTGTTTAGACTTAGGTTGAAATTCTGATGGGAATAATTTTTTGCAGTATCTGAACGTCATAGAGAACGGACGTGTCACGGCGCTGCTCCTGCGGTCGACGTTTCTGCTCGCTTTTAGTTACTTTTCATTTTACCTTTTTGCTGTTGTTTGGTGAATTGTCTGTGCCGTGTCCGTTTCTGCTGTGTTACTTTTAATGATATTGTGATGGTGTTTGCTAAACGTGGTTTGTGTGGATTTTTGCTGTACTTGGTCTACCTTTTATGTGTTACTTATTCTTCGGAGGAACTACATACTTTTAACGTACCGTCTACAACATCTGTTACATTTCTCGAGAATACGCCCAAAGAAATACTTAAGCAAAAGAAAACTGTACGAAGGAAGAGAGGGAAAGCGGGTGGTGTACGGAAAAAATTACGGTCTCGTAAGTTCAAACCATATATCCCATCTCTTATTATGGGGAATTTACAATCTATATGCAACAAAATGGATGAATTACGTGCACTTGTTGAATATATGCATGAATTTAGAACAGCCAGTATGTTGGCATTCTCGGAGACATGGCTCACTGCAAAACACAA